GCGCGCGTTATCGCCAAGGCAATGACTTTCGATGCATATCAAACAGGTTTCCGGGTGGTTACGTTGGCACCTCTGCTTGTTTATGTGCTTCCAGCCCTGGGCCGGGCCGGCCGGGCTGGCCAACCTGGCTTGACCTTCGCAATAACTCGGCGGTGTGGGTGGAGTTTGTGTTTGCTTTATTCCGCTCCTCCCACTCGCTCCCTTTCGATGCAACGCCTGCAACGCCCACTAGATGAGATGAATCGAGTTGATAGGAGGGGTGCAGTAAGTGGAATTGGCGAAAGCCATACCGAACAGTAGCACCAACCGCGCCGAAAAATAATTAAAAGTCGGGTATGAAACCGGGAAGTGTCCTGCAGGTAAGTATTCCTGGTGAGCCATTTAAGTATCCAGTCATCTATCCACAAGTTCGCAGGCAAGTATCTATGTAAGTATCCAGGTAAGTATCCAGGTAAGTATCCAGGTAAGTATCCAGGTAAGTTTCCAGGTAAGTTTCCAGGTAGGTATCCAGGTAAGTATCCAGGTAAGTATCCAGGTGAGTGTCCAGGTGAGTATACCTTCTCCCGTTGTTTATGGTTTAAGAGTTTCGGGAGAGCTGCCCCGTTCCTAATTAGAATGGGCCGTGCCGCGGGAGTGTGCCCTCTCCACTATTTGGTGAAATATGAACACCATGAAGGCTAATACTACCTCTGAGCGCAGTCATGATCGTTCAGCGAGATGCGGCTCCGGCTCGGCTCGGCTCGGCTAGCTGGGTCCGCGGCTTCGGCGGTCGCGCCCGAACTGCGAGTCGCGACCTCCTCATCCGACAGATTTACGGCAAGGCCGCACATACACACACGTAGCGCCAGCAGGCCCACCTGCACAAGCGCTGTTCTATCCTGGAGGTTCATTAACCCTCTTCTAAACGACGCGTCGTTAAGGAGGCAATGTGTAAAATTTCATGGTCCTGTGCTTGCTTGGGAATAAAATTTTATACAACAGTCTCCGACTGTCGTCCCACCAACCCTTTAGTGCTTCGTTTCGGGCTCCTCCGGAATGCCTTCGGCTGACCGCCCCGCCCCGCCCCGCCCCGCGGCGACGACGCCGGATGGCGCGTCGACATGTCCGTCATAAAAATTGGGACGGTGCTAGGAGGACGGGCCGCGGGCTGCGGAGCAATCATTCCGATGGACAGCGAGGATGAAGAGATACAGGACGTCATTGTCCAAACATTTCGGCTGCTAAAGGGTTATTAGAGCCCCTGGCCACCTAGATAGCGCCAAGAGGGGGAAATCTCGGAATCTCAATGTGTGTGTGTGTGTGGCTGACTGTGAGTGTTGGCGCCAGGTCCAATTCTTTCGGATCCTATATGACGCCATCATTCACTTCAGAAGACTGATTTCCCTTTTTATCTAGGGGGCCCAACACTATGGCACTGGATGAATCCTGGACAGATTGTGACAGTATCAAGACGAGTGGGACTGTGCACCAAACACGTAACTCACTTTTTTTTGTGCGGGTTGCATATGCAAGTGCGACTGCCGCGCCCAAGCCATGCCGCCAATGTTGCGTCATGATTATCAAGGCGTCCCTAATGCCATTGCGAGGCAGAGCTAACGAGGGCATGAAAGCTTCCTGTCAAAATAACCCAGCTGTTATACCTCATCAAAAACGGATTGGGCTGTTCCCGCCCCCCTAGCGTCCCTCTGCCCCGCAGTCCGGCGCGGCGGGGCGCCCGCAAGCCGCAGGCCGCCGCAGGCCGCCGCAGGCCTAGGGGATAATTTGCAGTTTGCAGTTGCTAGTGTAGCGTCGATGCACCTGACGCGCGCCGACGGGCCGCCAACACGCCTCCGTCGTCGGCGTCCTGGAGCAGGACGCGCAGGCCGCCCCCGACGCCTCCCAAAGCACGTGCCGACCGGGGTAATGGACTCATTGATCGTCCCGACGCCTCTCTTTGCGCGCTCTGCTCGCCGTCTCTCTCGCTCCCCCGCGGCACGCCGGCACGCCCCACGCGTGCGAGAGAGACCGCGTGGCCCACTCGGCACCCTTCAATCGATGATTTACCGAACGCCACGCCAGCTGGCCGGCCGGCCGTCAGCACCGCCTTGTGGAAACGCACTGAAACGTCCGGTGCGATTCCGGCGAAGCCATAACACGATCGCACTGCGCCTCTCGATTGAGGAAGGCAGTGAAGGGGTGGAAACAAATAAAAATGCCCTTTACTGTTCATTTACGCTAAAAAAAATAAGTGAAAAAAGCGGCATTATTTGAAAGGTATTTGACCCCCAGCCAAGCTTTTTCTCGCTTTGTGGACAGAGAGGCGGCACAGCAGCACGCAGACACACTCACAGACACACACAAGAAAGGCCAAAAGTCGAAGTGGGCCCGGGGCATGCACAAAGCACATCCACACGCAAAGGACTCTGTGTGGTCCTCAGTGCGTGCACTGCGTGCCGTACGGTCGCTGCGTGTTGCGTTCGCGTGCGTGACTGCGTGCGACGGCGTGGTCTGGGGAAGCAAAGGGAAGGATTAAGAGGCAGCGCGCACGCTGGCCAACTGATTCGGTGACAAAGGGCCACCACAGCTGCAGAACGCGACGGCCGCCCAAAAACGTCAAAACTCGGAATAAAAATTATTCGGCACACCGGACGACGCGCGGCCGATCGTTTGCTGCCGAGTCCATCCGGGCAGAAAATCGCGGCTTCCTTACATGAATGCGCACGCCGCAAACAAACAGCAAAAGTCGCCCCGAACGCATCAAGGATTTTGCGGCCGGATCAGCGAAATCGAACTGCCGCCTCGAAGAAACGGCAGCATTCAGCAAGGTGCGACTGTCCGTGTAATCCAGGACGGACTTGCGGCTCCGTGTCTCGATCGAATGAGGAATCCAGCTTTGCGACGCGGGGCGGCCACAGTCGTGGGAAGCAACACAATCAGAGTTTTGGAATAGGACCGATGATTTCGAATGGTTTTACCCAAGGTCATCGAGGGTATCAATTATAAATTTCCGTACGGAGACAGGCGTTTAACTGAATATGACCCGCCGCGCACACAAACACACTTACATACACGTAGGTAAAAGAGAGGGAGGGAGAGGGGGCCGGCTGTTTGAAAACGTGACGAATGGCTTTGGGTGGGGACGCGGGGGGCATCATCTACCAAATGCTCAAGGAGTGTCCGTTCCGACCTTTGAAGGATAATTGACAAAGACTTAGTAGTGTAGTGAAAGTGTAAGTGAGGCTCTCCCACTCGCCTCGCCCTACTCGGGCGGGCAGTTGGTGCATCAACACTGGATCAGGCACGAGGCAGAGCTTTGACTGAAAGCGCGGAAAAATGTGGCCCCGCTGATGTGGGTCAGTGTGCAGTGGGCGATGGCAGCTCTTATCTTGGCTCCAGGGATCCAGTTATGATCAGGGCGCTCAGGCAGTTCGATCCGACAGCCAATCAGCAGCTGGTTTATTTACAAACGCAGCGGTTCGGCCACAAATTTCAGAGACAAAAGGCACATTTTTTGAGAAATTTCTTTGGAATCAGGGGTTTTAATTTCAAAATTTTGAGTCGAAAAATCGGCAAGGAGCACAACGAGGGCCAGGTTTAAAAATGTGCGGCGTTGGAACTGCAGTCACTGCAGCAAGTCAGTGTAAAGGAGGCCCAAAGTCGGGGCGTTTCCTTGCATTCTCAGCCGCGATGAAGGTGTGTTGACTGGAGGCTCCTGAGGCGGATGCTTCGGCCCGCGCGCCATGCTCCAGCGACGCGCTGCGCGCGCTGCTCACGCCGCGTGGCGGAGGAGACGGAGGTACCCGGAGGCACCCGAAGGCACAGGCAGCGCGCTCTCGCGGCCGTCGGCGCAGGTACCTCTTCCCTTCCCCCGCCCAAGGCTCGGCTCGGCTGGGCTCGGCCTGTACGTGAGAGATGGGCCGGCTGATGGTGCTGGCTGCGGCTGATCTCAGAGATGATCAGGAAAACAAACAAGCTGCCCGCGGCTAGCGAGGCAAGGCAAACCTAGGGTGGCCAGGCGGCGGCGGCGCGCTGTGACGGCGTCGCGACGCCCGTGGGAACACCGCGGCGGCACGTACCAGTTTCTCGCACACCTTATCACTACCGCGTCCCACCGCGTCCCCCGGGTGCACAAGTAGTACCGACTCAAACTCAGGAGCTGCCGCGTTCGTGGAATCGGGACTCGGGTGTGTACTCCTCAAAGTCGTCGCTCGCAGCGACCGCAGTGCCTTCGAGAGGGATTTCTGCGTCGGGTGAATCGTCACACTGTCATGAGACGGAGGAGGCGATTGAACGATGAACAGGTTCGTCGGGAACCCTTGGCCGTCTGGACACCCTAGCGTGCCACCCGCCGCCGCCGACCTGCTGGGTGCCCCGCAGTGCCCCGCCAGGCCGGCCGGCAGGTACCGGGTATGCGGCCTGGCCGGCGAGCCACGGCGCGCCCGGCGTGCCCGCCGGACTCAGCGAGGTTGCACATCATAATTATAGGCTTGTGCACCGGCTCGACTCCGTTTGGGTGGAAATATATAGAAACCGTTTGGATGTGTTCGCGTCTCGTCCCGCCCCGCACGCCACGAGGAGCGGTGCGTGTGGGTGTGGGGAGGAGCAGCAGGTGAAATGTTTGTTCAGAGGTTCTGAGGAAATCCGCTGCTTACACTGCAAACAGAGGTGTGTTAAATAACACACTTTGCGGTGTCAAGCTCGTCCCACTTTTGACACGAAAGAAGCGTGTTTGACAAAACGTCTATAAGGTGTTCACATAACACGATTCTAGTGTGCAAGGACACAGCTCTGCCGTGTTATGGATAGAGGATTGGGGGGAATTCGAAACTGAAACGGTACAAAATAGTATTGAAGCTTTTTACTCGCACAGCATGCATTCAGACCACATTTTATACATCACAAAATTCTTGTCAAGATCAAGAGATAAATAGATTAAGAGATCAAGAGATCATAATTATAAAACATAAAATGAAAAAATCCAATAATTATAAAATTCTTATAGAGTACTTATGAAGAGAGAGATAGTTAAACTCATGTCGTCAAATACGAAGATATCAATTACAATTTAAATTAATTCTTCATTACATAGAAAGTTTAGAAAGTCTGAGAAAGTTTGAATCGAGAATAATCAATATTGAATTTTTTGAAGGCCCCATTAAGATCATTCGTAATAGTACCGAGACCATGAACGTCAAAGATCAGAAGGACACACTTGAATGCTGGGGGATAAGTTAGGTCCCAAGCATGATAACACGCAAGAAGTGCCAGGAGAGAGCCACAGACAGTGGGGTTGTTAACAGGCATAGCAAGTGTGTCACCAACAATAAACGCAGCTCCCAGTTTGTCTTCAGTGTCAAAAAAAAACACCAGTCTTGCTCCCTCACCGGCTTCTGACTTGAGGTGTACATCAGGATCACCTTGACACTGAAAATATAAAATTAAGAGTTAGAGACAGCTTTCAAAATAAAGAGCATAAACTAATAAAATAACTTAATTTAAAAATTACCTGTTGAATTGAGAAGCAGGGGGGCAGCTTCTTCGAGACATTCTTTGGCTTGACGTCATTGTACAGTTTACAAAGAAAGTCTGCCCTCTCCCTCTCCGTGCGAGATGGTAGCGAGATGAAGTTGGCAATGCTCTGAACAGCATCACCCAAGTCAGACTGAAGAGATAAAACGTCCTTCTTCCTCATGAGACTAAACTCATAGCAGATCTGAAAATAAAATAAAATAAATTTCTTAAGAGTTCATTTATAAACACTTTTAATAAAGTTTAATGATTAACTTACAAGGTCCACCTTCTGTAAGTGTGGGTATTCATGAATAATTAAAGTTGGACTAGAGTCTGGTGGCAGATGAGAAATCCATTCCCGTCTTGGAACAAACGTTTCTCTGATGAGCCTTGTGTGATGAGTAGTGGCACCAACATTAGGACCGATTCCCTTGAGAGCTTCCTGAAGCTTGTTCATTTCTGAAGCTTCTGCCTCCGTCCGTGATGTCACACTGTAAATGGAAAAAGAAAAGAAATGGAAAAGTTGATATAAAGAGGAGGCTAAGATATGCTGGCCGCATCACTCATCTATTCACCTTTCAGACGGCATGATGAACTTGCGTTGCTTTTTCCTTGCTGGCTCTTCATGGTCATCAGTCAGACTTAAAGGAACAAACTTGTCCTTGCGGCGAGCATTGCGTACGAACATGCTTAACATGTCTTTCACCAGATGCTAGAAAAGAAGAGTAAGGTTAGTCTGACAGTGAATGCGCATGATGCCTAAAATACATCATGAAAAATAAACCATGAACTTACATTAGGGTTTTCTACATTCGTTGGATCCGACAGCTCAGGATGGGCTTTAATTATTGTCAGGGAGAAAATTTTGTAATCAGCCTTCGATATCAAGTCTTCCGTTACAGTTCTTAGGTAATGACCGTAGTGGGCGATAAATTTCTCCATGCAACTGTTTGCTTTGCCAATCATCGCCTTCAGGTTTGAAGGCAAAGCAGGCAAAGTCATCAAAGCACAGTTCTGCAGACAAGACAACAAAAGTTAGTTTCATAATCTAATATAATGATAATTGAGTCCAGGTATAAAAAGACTTTAGAAGCACAGTCAAAGACCCAAGAGTACTAACCTGATCTTTCCGGGCCCTTTTAGGACGAACAATGCTATTCACTGAAGGTGAACAAGAGCTGTCTAAACTAAGCAGTCGGCCGATGAATGATCTTGAGGTGACGACGGGGTGCCACACGGTCCATTTTCAATCACACAAGAGCCATCAGGCTGCACTTGTAGAGTTGTTTCTCCGGTACCAATGACAAGAGGCCCATCCATGTTGGGAGAGTTTAGAATCGGGCAGAAGATTGGCACGAGATCACTTTCATCCTCGATATCTTCCAAATCGTCAATATCAACCAGCACCTTCTCCTGCGTAGACTTCTTGATTTTCAATTTCTGGAAAACGACGGTGCATCCATCCATTCGTCTGCAGAGATCAGCGTCCGTTTCTTTAGCCTTGCCTAAGGCCAGACGCAGACTGTCGACATCACTAGTACCGGCACCACTTTGAAACTTGACGCACTTGTTGCGCTCACTACCAAGTTTAAGATAAACTTCTTTCATCTTCAGCGACATGGCCGCCAGCACAGATCACAAATCCGGACAGAGAATAACGTCAGTAAGTTAAAAACTTCAAAATCACACATGTTCAAAAATTACAGCCTATTTTATCCCGGACCAAGAAGAACAAAAATGCGTCAACCGGTAGTGCCAACGGCGTTCTCACAATGGTCAAAATTAATTTTAAGTAAGACTGACAATTTTGTTAGGAAAGGGGGATCTTTGTTTTAATTTTATTGTTTTAGAATCGCCAAATTTGATTGGATTCTTTTGAAACAGAACAAGTATTAGAATGCACCCATTTTTTTTCTGTTTTCCTCCGTGGTAGTACGGATTTGAGCATGCGGCGAGTGTAGGGTTAGGTTTTCTTGAGTAAACATCAACAACCTTTTTGAAATTCAAGAATAGTGCAGAAGGCCTTCAGTTATGTTCAGAAATCGCATAAAATGCAACATGGTCACTTCAAAAGTTTAAGTCAAGCCCAGTTAATGAATCATTATGTTCGAACACATCGGTATGATCCACATTTTAATGTGACCTGTGCAAGCGAAGGATGTCGTGCAACATACAGCAATTGGGACAGTTTCAAGAAACATATGAAAAGAAAGCACCGAGGAGCAGCACACGAGGATCCAATCCAAAATGCTGACATCAATCTTGGAGACAATGGTGATCTGGGTGACCAAATTCAAATTGACAACAGGCCGGATGACGCTCCAGGTAAAGAATCTGTTAATTAAATGATGCCTACTCTTTATCACATATTTTCCTTATTTGGACTAAACAACAAATTTAAATTGTGTTTCAGAATACGTGCAAGAACTCATTGGGTTGGACCAGGTCCAGTGGCATGCGGTTAAATTTCTCCTTATGATAAGGGACAAGTACCGAACATCAAATGTTGCAATGCTGAAGGTTTTATCAGGTTCGGAACATCTTATCAAGATATGCCTCATTCATTCTGGTAAGCTAGTTCTTTCTTGTGTGAAGTTAAATTATGTTCTATCTCTGCATTAAATAAATATTATATTTTGTTTTCAGAGCCAGATCCAGGAGGCAGCTAACCCCAACACAAACTTGATTCATGTCAACAGAGTACAAGATTACTTGAGGAGTTTTCCAGCCTCATCTGTGTTTTCACATGTATCGACAAAAACTATGCTAGATAGTTTTTTGGTCTCGTCTTTGGGTATGATTATGCCAAAAATGGTCAAGGTGGGTAAAGGCTGGCGTTGGAAAAGGAAACCTACCACTAAATTAGTTCGAACGATTCACTGTGCATATTCCATTCCGTTCCTCCAGTGTTTAAAAAGATTGCTTCAAAATCCCCAAGTGCGATCTTGTGTAGACAATCCCAAACTGTCAAGGGATGCCCTTAAAACAATCTTGATGGTCTTTATTATAAAAATAGTGCTATATTCAGTCAACATGTCAATTCCCTTGCAATTATTTTTTATTATGATGAAATGGAAGTTTGATAACCCTTTGGGTTCAAAATCTCACAAACTTGAATGTTTTATTGGGTGTTGGCTAATATTTATCCTGAATATAGATCCACGCTACAAGCTCATAATTTACTGATGGTAGCAAAGTACTGTCACATTGTAAAGTATGGGATCAAGAAAATTTGGCTGAATTTATAGAAGATATTAAAGTCTTGGAAAAGAGGGCATCACCATCACTGTTAATAATGTTGAAAAGAATTACAAAGGCTCTGTAATATTTGCTGCTGCTGACACCCTGCTGCTGCACTGCTTGGAGGCTTTAAGAAATCTGTGACTAAAACTATTCGAATGTGCCGTAGATGTCACACAGACCAAGACCGTTGGAGGATGTATTTCAGGGAGGAGTACTTTCATCTAAGGGATGTGGTGTCACACACAGACCATGTTGCAGCAGTGGAAGACAGAACTGTGACAAAGGCGACCAAACTTTTTTGGTCTAGACATTATGGCATTAATGAAGGTAGTGTGTTTATGGGCTTGGCTGCGTTTGATGTACTAAATGTTTTCCCCAAGACATTATGCATGTAATAGCGGAGGGAGTTCTGGAAGTAGAATGAGAGTGTTTCTAAAATTTTTGTGTGGTAATCATTTCATTTCACTAGACATCTTGAATCGTAAACTGCAACATTTTGATTATGGACACCTGCATCGTGACAAGCCGAGTGACATCCACAGTGATCACTTAGACAATTCGCTGCGACAGTCTGCAGCCCAGATGTTATGTTTAGCATATGTTCTTCCATTTGTTCTTGGAGATCTTAAATGTGATGATAACAATCTTCATTGAAGCCAAGGAGCGCCTGTTGTGCCACACAAAGCTTCTTCAAATTCTACTATGTGTTACGCATTTGTAATCCCTCGGGCACAACTTCATCTCTTGGCCTTTGCTATTGAGTCGTTTATGTCAAATTTTAAAGCATTGTATCCTGAACAAATGGTACATAAATTTCATTTTCTAATTCACATAATAAATCAAATTTTATTATTTGGCCCACCAAGACAGCAATATTGTATGAGGTTGAAGCATGCCATGCATGGTTTAGGGATTGATGCGAGTACTAGGAATGTTAAGAACTTGCCTTGGACTTTTGCTTATCGTTATGAAGTCTGAGGTGCTCGGAGCTGAGCTCTGGCCCAGGTGTGTACTCATCTTCTTTTCTTTACTCGGGTCACGATATCAAGGAGGGTCATACAATCAAACTTCTTGACCTTGAATTCAGAGACACTGTGTTCAGAATGTTACCCTTTGTAAATAGAGAGACTTGTGAGGTCATGGTGTCGCCAGAGGTAACAGTTCATGGAACTACTTTCATGTCTGGCTCAATTATTTTAGTGTCATGTGAGGAAGATGATCTTCAATTTTTGGCGTTGTAAAACAATCTATGTTTACAACGAAATTATTCTTCTATTGTACTCAACGCTTGTAACATTGGGGTACTTTGGCAATCTAAACGCCTATAAGTTTCCCCTCATAGCACTTAAATGAAGACATTTTAAGGTTGACAACTTGTTACTCCCATCTCCTCTTTCCGTCTTTCACTTAAATAGATGTAAATACATTGTCTTGTCAACTTTTTTAGGGCTGAATTTATAAGTGAATGATTTTATATTTTTAAATGTAAATAATTTTGTTTGTATTATTAAATAAATTAATAATTTTATTTCTATTTGTTTTAAACTTCCGCCAATGATTATTTGGTTTGTTTTAAATAAATTCTGATCCAACAATTTTGTTTTTATGCTACTTTGAGAAGTTTCTCAATTATGGCAGAGTCCACCAAATCCTCTAAGTCATAGCAGAACACGGCAGCGCTGTGTCTTCCCATCCGTGCCAAAAATTGACACGTTTATAGCGTGTCTCGTCACATCCGGTGTAAAAATAACACCGATTTGTGTGTGTATGCTCGAAACGTGTCAATGAAACACCATTAACACGTTACCAGCTGTGTCATAACACAGTGAATAAAACACCTCTGTTTGCAGGGTAGCGGCGCTCACGGAAGAGGCAGAACCTGTTGGATGTTGGGGCGGGCCGACCGGGCTCAGCCATTCGCGACGGCTCTCAGCGCTACCGGCGGGACGGTGCATGGCGGTGGCAGGCCGGCAGGGAAATGCACCTCCTCAACTCTGTCGTCCATAGAGCCACCTAAAATCCATCTGCAGACTCTCTTCAAATTGTTAAAAGCGTTGGCAATCGACGGCAAGGCCCTAGTCCGTTCCTGTGTTCCGCGAGACACCTCCATCCAGGACGGACGCGGCGGGGCGCCACCAGCCCGCCGCCGACGCCGCGGAGCGCGATGATATTTGTTGATGACCGCGCCGCCTGCAGGAGGGACCGCAGGCCTGAAGGATGATGATGAAGACCGCTGGAGCGTTAGTTTGGCGGAGTGGCAGTGTTTTACACATGCAGACAGTCCCGCCGTCCCGCCAGCCCACGCGCCCATTTTCATCCGAAAAAGTGAAACTTGTGGCGGCAATTCTCGGAGTGGCGTAACGCCTTATGCGGTCGTGAATTTCTTTTTCAATTCGGGGAAAGTCTATTTGGACCGGTCATCCGTCTCCATTGCCGTTGGTCTCCCGATATTTACATAGAGGACGTATACGACATGACAGGACAAGATTGAGAATCTGGCGGGGCGTCGCGCCGTGGGTGCGAGAGAGACGTTGTGCGACGCGGCGCGACGTGTCAAACGTTATTAATGAAACGGCCAGTCGCCCTCGCCTCGCTGCCGACCTCTAAATATCCCGAGCCATCAGAAAAGTTTTCTGCCGCCATCGGGGGTCGAACCCGCGACCGCAGCCCCGGCGGCTCTGGAGTTGGTGAGCTAGTTACCGAGGTGTCATCTTTCGATACGGCCTTGATTAATTTGAGCAGAGAGGGGGGCGAGAGGATGACTCACTGGAAAAGCGGCCGGAGAAATTCGCCACAGCACTCACAGCAGCGCCACGGAACGAAATTCCAGCACGCCCACCCTGCCCTTGCTCTTTCCGTCCAATGAGGCGTGATTTGTCTCGAGAGTAAATAATTGTTTGGTGTGGAATTGGTCCGTCAGGCTGACGAAGGGCTGGTTAGCGCTGGGCCCTGCCCTGGCTGAGGCCCTGCCCTGCCCTACGGTTCGACCCTCCTCCGCTTACCTCACACGCTCTCAATCTCACTAACCAGGCGAGCCAGCCGCGCCGGGCGAGGACGGGCGGTAGGTATGCCCCAGTGACTCCCTCGGACTCCCGCTCGGACTCCAGGAGAGGAATCCGGTGTAGCTTTAATCGCCCGGCGGGATGAATTCCTCGCTCTTGTTGTTGCCCGGCACCTTGCTGTTGTTGTTGGATCGGCGGCGCTTCTTTTTCGATTTAATTCTATCTGCGCTTCCGTATTAGCTCCGCGTGTCGGCTTGGCTCTTGGATTCGGCCGGAGGGACCCGACTGTGGTGCGGCCCCTGCAGGCCCCACACGGAGTCCCCGTCATCGCAGAAAGCCACGAAATTTGGAAATGATAACGCAGAGAAATAGATTTAATTAACGGAGTGTAACG